GAATTATTTTTGAAATTTTTTGGAAACTACTTGTTTTCTTCAAAGAAATTTTTAGGAAATAATTTACCTATTGAAAGAATATCTTATACCCTAGAATATAGCATAAACTGAATATAGCATGAATATAGCATAAATTCTTATACCCTAGAATATAGCATAAATTCAACAATTTAAACAGTAAGGATGCCATATTGTTTTCAACTGTGGAGCCTCATCCCTTCAACCAAAATAGTGTACATGTATATTGGTATTAATCCTAAGACTATAGAGCCGACAAAATGTGCAGGGCAGAAAAACCAATTATTTGTTATTCTTAGAAGTTACCTTGAGTTATTTTTGAAATAAGACAGCATGTAAATATTGGGTTGTCAGGAAAGTAATGATGCATTTTGCAACGAAAAACAGAAAAAAATATGTCATGACTTTTCCGACAACCCAATACATAGGTAAATAAAATAATAAGTTTTTGTACAGATAGTCAAAATGCAGTCAATGATATATTCATTTTCAAAAGATAACTATTGTACCAAGCAAAACAAACTTGGAAATTACTTCTTAAATCTAGAACTGACGGTCCATGCTTATTTCATTTGTGTACAAATAATAATTAATATACAATAATGAGTAGGAAGACAGAGGTACTAGAATACTGTGTGAACGTGTTTTCTCTCAGCAAACCATTGCATCATTACATTATATTGCAATGCAGAAGAAGCTACATGAAATGTACTGAAGCAATCCCATATCATACATATCTCAACAAATCACATATGTTCAGAAATATGTTGGCATGTCTTTATAACCCTCCAGGACTAACATAATGGTATCATACATGATAAGGGCAACTTCTAACCGAAATACTTTCATGTCATGCATACACCCACTCATACACAGCACTGGGGATAAGCAGCTATGACCAGGCACAGTGGGTAATGTGCACACAGCAGGCTATGACAGTGTGGGGTGGGGAAATTTGCATACAAGAGCAAACTTTTATCCTTTCACAATAGACAAAAGGTTCACTTGTACCTTCATAGAGGAAAGAGGTATAAAAGATTGTCTACAATGCTAATGCCAATGCTGAACCAAGTTAAAACTTCCCTAGGAATAATATTTACATCACTGTAAGGTCTCCTGTTGTGTCAAACTTTCTATGAGGCTATTTTATTTTGCCTATTCTGCCAAATTAGAGTTCTAAAAAAAACCTCACGTAAAGCAGTACTCATGAAAAGAAAGGGCATTAGGTTGACATTTAGACTCATTTTGATTATATTGATTTAAAGACTTAAATTGATCAGATTGTTTCCAAGCAAAACACATAATTTTTTTAAATGATGAATTTAATCAGTCCAGAGACTTATTATGTTGAGGAAAATAGTCTTTAAAAAGTTAAAGATCAACCCCAAATGTACATGATGATTAAAATATTATACAAATTAACAGGGTGTATATAATTTATAATGAATGTATCTGCAAATCATATTGTTTTTTTAAAAAAAATAAGTCATTATTGACTGTTACTGAGGTAAACCTGATTTTTTTATCAGAGTTTTTTTTGCATTGTTTTGTAAAGCAATATTTAATTAAATACATATCTTTTATACTAAAGCTCTTATAAGCACTAACTCTTTAGTTACTGGAAATTTAAATATATACCTCTCCCAAAGAGACTACTATACGTGATTATGCAAATTCAACACAATTAAAAAATTTTTAAAATTTACAGTCAAGATAATCAAGTAAAAGTAAGTGGATCATGTGAAATTTTTTTTTTTCAGGGATGAAAATGGAAGAGAAGTGGTGAGCTATGTTGGGAACAAATTAGCAATTTTATTAGAAAAGAAAAATAGTTGAGTGATTATATATTACAATGAAAGAAAACAATAAATGCTTTAAAATAATACTGGGTCTAGATATCTACTATGAAATTGAGATTACTTTGATATTCATCTAACATGTCTATTCTTACTGAGGTATGCAGTAGAATTACTTTGGGAAGGTGTTTTTAAATATACTTTCCCCCAGAAGTTTTAGTTTAGTAGACTGGACTGTTTGTGTATGATTTCCTAGCCTAAATTCTTGGCTTTGGTGTGTTTAAATTCAATCACTAAATTTGGACTTGTGTCCTTGTGATCTTCTTCTAATCAACCATCTCAAAGGCTGCCACTATCAAAACTAAAATTAGTCATTTACTATAAAGGATCTCAACCTATCTTAACATTCAGAACAAATTCTGAAGATACCTAGGCTGGACGAAGCTTTTTATTTTTGCCTTATTTTTAGTTTTCTATTTTCTGGCAAGAGGGGTTGCTTTTAGAATTTATTTGAATAAATAAGTTTCCCTTTTATTTTGAAACCAATTTTATCAAAGTATCTGATTATTTCTTCTATGAAGACTACAATAAGATATATGTGATATTTCTGTTTAATATATACTTTAAAATATTTTTGACCAATCAAATAACTTGGTTAATAAGATGAAGGATAATATTTAAATATCCTTTTATGGAGTAAGTGAAAGCAAATGGAGTTGTTAGAAAAAGAAAGCATCCTTAGCTGGAGTGGGATGGTGGTGGTTTGACTTGAAATATGCAAGGGGCTGTGTTTCCCCACCAAACACTGTCTGGATGCAGAATATGCTGTCTGCTTTTGTTCTGATGACCGCATTCCTCTACTGAGAGTTAAGAAAGTGAATTTACCGTGTCTGAGAAACGGTAAAACTTCTCCAATGCAAAAGCTTCTGTCTGTGGGAAGGTAAAGTGGGCCAAGAGGGATTGAGAAACCAGAGAATCAAGACATATATGATGAAATATAATTGTACAGTTGGTTTTAATAGCATATATAATTTCAACACACATATATATCAATAAATAGATTTTCACATATGCAAGGTATCCACTCCCCAAAGTATGAAATGAATGAAAAAAAACTGGATTTTTTTTCCTGCACTAAATCTGAATTACAATAAATATTTTATTTATTGTATTTCAAATAGTGATCAGAAAAGAATAAGATATGACTATTTTTGAATTTCTACATTTTCCTAGCGTGCCAGTCATTACCAAAATTAATATAGCTGTCATTCTGTGAGCTAAAGAAAAAGGAGTGTCAATATTTGTATTTCGATACTCTTACAAGTGGTAAAATTGAAGAAAGAGTTGTTTTGCTAAAGATTTTTTTTTAAGGAGGAAGCAGACTAGAGCATGTAAGCTGTAGCCTATTCTGTTACCCATTGGATATGGGGACTATTGTATGTGCGGTGGGAGTAGAAAATGTTTGAGCTCTAAGACCCCACTGGGACACCACATGTGTAATACTTTTCATTTCTAGTGTTTTCAGCACACGGTTGATACTTCTAAACTGTGGAAAGAGGAGAACAGTAGAGAAATGAAAAATAAATGTGAGAAAGTAAACCAAAATGAGAGAGGGAAATGAGTATTGCCTTACTTTTGATTAGTGATAATAGAAGGAAAAATTGTCTTTACCAGTCATTAAGGAGAAAGAATCACAAGAGCTTCACCCCTGTGATACAGAATTTTTTGTCCTGTTATAGTGTTTCAGCCAGTGCCAGGTATTAGGAGAGAAAGGAGGAGCAAGTAGGCAGTAAGGGAGGCAGAACGAAGGGAAGGAGAAAGAGAGAGAGAGGAAGAAAGAGAAAAATAGAAGGAAACCAGCCTACAGTGGTGAGGTCAGGGAAAAAGTTATTTTAAAACGTTAATTTCCCATCAAGATATGTTTTAACGCACAAATATTTGCTTTTATGTTCATGAAAAATCTGATCAAATGCAAGCTCTAGCATTGTTTCTTGTCCCATGCGTCACCCAAAGTATCACATTGCTCACGTCCCTTCCACACTGCACTGAATTGGGTTATTTATTGGAGCAGGTGATGATTCCAGGGAGTCATTTAAACATGATTGAATAAATTATTGCTTTAGAAGATGATTAATACTGAGTAGGCTCAGTACTGAGAGATTAGGACTTAGTGCTTTAAAAGGTTTTATGAATCTATAAATCATAGTCAATAATTCAGAAACCATAAGGAATCCTTTAAAAAAATTAAATCCTTAAAAATGCACACTCTATGAACCAGACTATTAATTTTAAGATTTGAGTATGTTTTGACTTCACTATTCCAGTATATTGGATTCTGGCCCCTGATTTCTCCTGGTGTACACAACTCTGGTGATGTTGATTGCTTAAGAATTCATTTGCTTCTAAAACATCAGCTGGCACATTCACATTAAAAGAAGTAAAATCATAGATATGCTAGTCAGTAGAAACTCTTACAGAAAAGGAAAGGGGTTGATTAAAACTATGTGCATGTAAAGAGAGATAACATTACAAATTTTAATAGAGGGGAATAACCCCATTTTTTACATCCATTTACAATTAGAGATTACTTCCATTTCCTGTGGTCTTCCAATAATGTTCTAGATAACATTTCTTCTGGGTTTCACATATCAGTTGATAGCAAGGCAAAAGCAGTACATTATTGTGTTTCCCATGGAGATTCAGAAGAAATGTCTTAAAACACAAACGTATGCAAAAAGAAGACACCATATAGCTTCACATCAACATCATAATAGTAATAAACAGGTAATATGTGATGGAAAATTAAAGGAGGTAGTTTGAAAAAAGGAACAACTTTAATAGTTATATTTTATGACTTCTGTCAACACCATTAGAAACACTCTAGCCTTGTAAATAAAAAATGACCTATTTTTGTCAATTGCAGGAAAAAAATGTGTCTTCCAGGAAGTACATTAAAAACAAGCTCTCATGTCACCAGATATGCTGTGTAAAGTACAGCTAGATGTCACCATTTTCCCCCTGAGGCTATTTTTGACAATTTAAGTTTCATTTGGACAAAACCAAAGGAATATCATATCATTTAGTCCCCAGTCTCCATTTCCTCTCCATACATCCTGTTAAATATAAGAAATTCACTTTCCAGTGAAAATTGGTATCCCAGTGAACCCAGTGCATTTAATCGTTTACCTTATTCTTTCTCTTGCGTCGAAATCGCAGAAGTTCCTTGTGTTGTCGTGATACAAAATTTACAGCTGCATATTCCAAAAGTGCTGAAAACACAAAAAGGAGGCATACTGCCATCCAAATGTCAATAGCTTTGACATATGAAACCTAGTCGAGAGGGAAAGAAAGCAAGCAAATTGATTTGTGTTGTTACTTCCATTGAGAACAAAACTGAATGTCTGATTCTAAATTATACCATTTCTATACCAGCTTGGAAAGAGAAAAAAGGAAATGCCACCAATATTTGTTTTTTACTTAAGAATTTTTCAGTGATTAATTTGCAAGTTTTATGTATTAGTCACACATTAAAATTTGTGTATTTTTTTGCTTTTTTTTTTTCAAATGAAACACTAGACCAAACATATGATGAAAGAAAAAATAAGAGCAAATGTCATTTTACCTTCAGGATAATATAGGATAGTGCTTGTAAAGTACGTAGTAACATTGAAATACAGATAATGCTGTTGACCTTTTAGCTCCATATTTTCTTCATTAAAAAAAAGTGCTTTATTTTGAAGTAATTTTAACCTTACAGATGTTACAAGAACAGTAAAAAGAACTCCCACATTCTGCAGTTAACATTTGGTTACATTTATCAATCTACATATCTTTATCTGTCTTATACCTATATCTGTGTTTTTCTCCCTTAACTATTTGAGTGTAAAATGCAGATATAATGCCCCATTACCCCTCAATACTTACGTGTATTTTCTAAAAGAGAAGGACACGCTCTTACATGACTCTAGTACATCCCACAAAATCAGGAAATGAACATTAGTAAAATACTACCATCTAATCCTAAAACCCCATTCCGATTTCACCAATTATTCCAAAATGCCCCTTTTAGCAGAAAAACATTTTTCTTCCAGTCCAGGATTTAATCTAGAATCGTGTGCTGCATTTTGTCATATCTCTTTAGTCTTCAATAGAGAACATTTGCTCTGTCTTTTCTTGCCTTTTGTGACGTTGATATTTTGGATGAGTGCAGACCAGTCATTTTTTGAACATCTCTAACTTTTGGGTTATCTGATATTTCCTCATTTTAGACTCAGATAACGGGATATTAATAGGAACAAGGATGCCTCCTTCTTCACAGTGTAGCACATCAAGAGGCACTCAGTATTGATCAGTTGGTTAAGGTATTGTCTACAAAGTGTCTGTACCCAGAACTTACTAGTTTTCCCTGCTGTGGGGATGATTTGACACTATCTAAATATCCTTTCACTCTTCAAACTTTCACCCTTTAGACATTGATGATACTTGCCTGAATTAATTATTACAGTGTTGATTTCCAAATGGGGGTTTTTCTAATCCCATCACTTCATCTACATTTATTAGTTAGCGTTATATAATAAAGGAAGTATCTGTCTTCCACATTTATTTATTTATCTATTCATCTATTTATAATAGTGTGAACTAAAAAGTTTTTTTCAATGTTCTAATGCATTAACATCACTATTTACTTTGATGTTCACATTATCTAGATTGAGCCAGTAGGACCCTCTAGAAATGAGCCCATATATCCTCTCAGCAAGTCTCCATCGTGATTTCAGTACTTCCTTACTTTCTGGCACAAAATAGCCCAGATTCATCTTGTACTTTTCCTGTTTCAGACCTTGATTGAGCCCTTTCTCCTAGAATCCTTTCTTTAGGGAAGAACAGCCTTTAGAAACCAAGGTCTGGGCACTGTGTGTGCTCACTGCTTCCTGGGTGTCACCCTCTTAGTAGACAGTTAGAAATTATATACAGTTAGAAATGATACATCACATATCACAAATTATACATATATATAAATATATACACATGTATATCACATAGCAATACAGAACATATAATACCACACATATTTTATAATTATATGCAATTATATATTTTATATAATTATATATTATATATACAAAACATCTATCATCTATCTATGTATCATCTATCTATCTATATTTAAAACATGAATTCACACTGGTATTTCAAGTTCTAATTCAATACCACAGGGTTCATTCTAGCCTTTGCCCTTTCCATATATGTGACACTTTCTCTAGCAGAAAATGGGCTCTCATTATCTTCAACATGTAATTCATTGTTCTCCCTGTGTGTAACGAATATCTTAATTCTGCTGGCCATCCCCAGCCTGAGTCTCATTGGTCCCAGTTGCTTCATTGGTTTGGGCCCCGTACCTAAAGTTCCCACTGGCTGCTTTGGTCCTGACCATCACCTTGACTCCTGGACCCTGGTCCTGCCAGCCCCATAAAGTGTCCTTGACCCTGACCACCTCCTTAGCTATGGGCCTTGCAGTCTCTTGCACCTGAAAGGTAAGGAAGAGAAGAGAACGAAAGGGAAAAGAAGAAGAAGAAAAAAAAAACCAGAGATCTTTAAAATGTATTATTAAGATAAGAAACACTAAAAGAAGTGAAAGAAAGAAAAGAGTAAAAGGAAGAGATAGGCTTCTATTTTCTAGAAACAGACTGATATTGACTTAATTCTTTTGGAGACAACAATTCAGTGATGTTTAAGAAATTGCTTTAATATTGCTCTCTGTTTAATTGGACAGGGGTTTGAAGTTGTAACTGAATAAATATTGCTGTCTATGTCAATTGCTCAAGGATGAAAATCTACTTTGAGTATTAGTGTCGTTTCTTATTGTGTATGTGTATGTATTACGCAGCTAAAATATTATATTATATTATTATATTATATTACATTACATTACATTATATATTATATTATATTATATTATATTATATTATATTATATTATATTATATTATATTATATTATATTATATTATTATATTATACCATGCAAGCAGTATCAGTAAAATCATTGACTTTCAGGGAGTAAGCATGAGATCATTCATTTTATTGCATAGCTTAGACATCCCAGTGAGGCATAGAAAAAAATTATCTCACTCACCAAGAATCATAAATAAGAATGAGAGATATTTATGAGACGTATGAGTTTGGGGGTTTTTTTAGTTTTTACTAGGAAATGGGCAATTACCTAGAATTTTGCTTTCCCCCTGATAGAAATAAATGTTCCTTCCCCAAGAAGATGAGGCTCTGCAAGAGCAGAAAGCCAGGCTTGATGTAGGCAAGGATGCACTGCCTCCTCCTTTGGACCAGTTCTCTTAAGGATCAAAACCTTACACTTTGGAAATTTGACTATTTCGATGCTGTTTGTATCTGCTGCATTTCTTGGTCTTGCTCATCATCTTTAATATTTGGTCAAGTTCTGTCAAATGTCAGCTTGTTAAAATCTTGATCAAATTTAGGTGTGGTTTAACAGGGGGAAGTGGCTAAATATTGGAGGGAGAGTTATGGTGGAAGGAGCAGCAAATACAGTAAGGAAACGCCTTCCTGCCTCCTTTCCCAGCTGGCCCTTCAGGTCTCAGGCTAGACTTCGCCCAGGTCTGGTTCAGAATTCCATGACACCTGTGCTTACCTGAATACATTGCATTGTAATTGTTTATGTCTTGTTTTCTTTCTGTTTAAACTGTGAACTCTTTGAGGGCAGAAGTCATCTCTGTTTTGTTTATCATGACAAGAGTGTCTGGAACATGCATATTGGCTGCATGAATGGACAGATAAATGAAGGGGTAAAATATTAAAACGCAGGAGAAGAATGAATCATAGATGATGATTCCTGTAGAGGTTGACTTTCAGGAGTAATGCTCCATTAATATCTTGGGTTGGATTAATTTTCTTTTAAAAAGAGGTCATTTCTTGACACTTCCAATGGTGTTAACTTACATATGAAATATGCCAACAAAACAGTTCCCTGCATCGCCTCCTGTATCTTAAGTGTGACTTCTGCTGATCAGAATGGTCTCTACTGAGCAAAGAGAAGTGTGCCCTTATTTTATTCCAGTGGTATGCTGTGTCCATCTGTTTGCAAAGAATAAATTTAAATCTCATAAGTTCTGCAGTTATGCCCGAAATTTCTGGCTGCCTTCAAATACATACAGGCTTGGAAGATGTAATATTGCTTTCAAAGGCGTTTCTCAAGCAACACCGTTCCTGAAAGACTGAGTCATAAAGTATGTGTGCATTCTTTAACAACCTGAACTTATAATGATGTGAACCAAAGAGATTAAATCAGAAATTTAAATTCCAAATTAATCCAACAAATGTTTTTAGTGACAACAGACATATATGCAAACATTGTTTGTGTCTTCCAGGGTTCTGCTCATTGTGAATAGCTCCTGATGGTTGAGCCCTAAAAGCTTACTTTCCTCAAACTCTGCTCTTACCCCACATCACCGATTTCAACTCTTTTTCTCATCCTCCACCCTCACTGCCCCTCCAAAGACAGCAAACTCAGGACCTGGATAGTATGAAACTCTACGCCTCATAGCTTTAAATAAAGACAGCAGTTCTCACTCCAACACATTCGCAACAAACTCACGACCCATAACACACTCCCATGTGATTCACAGTTATCACCTTCTTTCCATCCCCCTACTGCCTGCTGTCCTTTGGGGCAGTCTCAATCTGATTCTGCTTATCCTCTGGACCACCTTGCCAACCTCCCATCATTCCCTGTGCTGTTGGAACCCTAATTCTAGTTTAAGCAACAATCTCTCCTCCATATTACTCCTTGAATACAAGTCCACAATCTCTTTTATGGCATATAAAGCCCTTCATGATTGGCCCCCAGCTCACCTCTCTTACTACATGCATTCATTCACTTTTGTTTTTCATTCAACATTTACTGAACATCATCAATATACCCAGTTCTGTTCCTAGTGTTGTATTTATAGAGATGAGTAAGACAGACAAGATCCATCTTTAATGGAACTTCCATTCAAGTTGAGGAAAACATACAATTAAAAAAAGCATACAAACAAAGCTAATTTAAGAGAAGTGTAATAAGGAAACTGCAATAGGGTTATGGGAAGAGACGGACAGAATGAATGCGGAAGTTCAGTGATGGCCTCCCTGAAGATATGATAATTAATGACCATCGTATGCCACTTTCTTACATGCTTATATTGTTCTAACTACACTTTCCTTCCTTTAGTTCTTGGAACCTGAAAGTGATTGACATGCTCCATCCTGGCTCAGCAGCTTTGTACTCCCTGTTACTTCTCTGTCTGGAACACTCCTTCTTTGG